CTGGCCCGAGTTCACTGTGTCACACTCAGACCTTCATGAGGTCAAATCACCCTCTTCAGAAGCTGTACTTGTGCTTTCTCCTTCCAGAGAAAACTGTTGCTTCCCTACACTAGGAAAGCCATAACTTTGTAGTCAAACTCTTTCTGTAGCAGTTGACAAAACAAGTGGCAACTACAAGTTTTTACTTCTTTTCCTTTGTTTCTTATACATCATATTTTTTAACATTGCAGGGGTCTGAGGGTAGAGATGACCAGCACATGCCATTTAATGATACTCTTTCAAATGTCTTAAGGCTTTATCACTGCTTTCCCTCAAAATATTTCCCCCGTACTTTCATAGTTTAGCAGGATAAGTTTGCATGTCTCGCAGACTTTTGTTTACAGCTTCTTTAACACCTTTGCTGACAGTTTAAGCCAAGCACGCTGGCATACCTTCAATTCTGCTACCGACGCAGTAATACCTTTCAATTGCCTGAACAAGAATCACCGGAGGGCATCTGTCTGAGTCTGAATTATGTTGGAAAACCATCTGGCATGTTGTGGGATAGTCCTAATAATAACAATGAACTCTTTATCAGGAGTTGAGTCATGGTGCTTTGTTTCCTTTTTAATTCTCTCTTAGTTGCATATATGTATTCCATATAGCCGAGGGGTTAATACCGCATGCAGGTACTGTACAAGACCATTGTGCTGACAGCTCTCATTTGGACTCATTTATCATTCAAAATCTGGCTATAAGAAATGCATTTAAATAATAAAAATAATTACTAAGATGAAAGATGTAGATCAGTGTTAATTGCATCCTAAACCTGTTTCCTTCTTCTTCCTGGGGAGGGAAGGAGGAGAGGAGTAAATGGGGATGGCAGTCACAGGAGTAAGGTACGTTCCCTGAAGGTGCTTTTAAACTGTTAAAGGGTCTCTTTTTGCACTTAACACAGACATCCATCAGCAGGGATGATGTGAGCTGCCTGGACCTGAAACATGGGAAGAGAAATGCTTCAGGAGCTATTTGGTCTTCACTGGTTCCTCACAGGATCATCTGCACTCGGTTTCTTTCCTGTAGGAAGAGCCCAGAGTATTTTGTGAACCTGAGTATATTTTATTTCCTAGAACCAAAATGAGGTTCAGAGATCACGTTGTTAATTTGCATGTTTATTAAGTTGTATTGAACCAGACCTTCAGCTAGCAGTGACTGGTGCAGCTCTAGTGATTTTTAACCCTTGTTGAAATGTGTCTGAACTTCCCTCAGATGTTTGCTGGGAGCCCTGAACCCAGCAGTTTTATCTGATCACTGTGCCCTTGCCATCCCTCAGGTTTGCTCTGTGTTGCCTTACTGGTGAAACGCAGCTGTTGGGAGTATGTCCCTGTGAGAACAGAGCATCCTTGCTGTGGTCCTCAGCGTTTTAGGCTGATACTGGAAGTACCCCAGTCATGCTGCCAGAAGTATTGTATGAGACAGGTTTAACTTTACATTGGCAAAAGCTGGGGTAATGTAGAGAAGCTGTGACAGAAGCAGGAATAAATGGTTTGCTGAAGATGATGCAGGAGGGCTGGTGGTAAAGCATGAAGGCAGCTCTGGTCTCCTTGCTTGGAGTTGTGCATCAGGCCCGGGATATTCTCCCGCGCATGAAACTATATGGTTTGAGCATCTTTCCTTTTGCACTGGTAGCAGAGAAGAGCTCGAGAGTGACTAAACCACTGAAGCTAATGAACTTCTCATGTGCAAACAGGGACATCAGGTTAATTAGTTTGCTAAGCAGCAGAGCTGGAGCTGTGCAACTGCCTGACAATGATAAGAGAAGGGAGCTGCAAGCCAGCGGCCTTTTGGTTGTCTACTCCTTCATTCCATCTCAGCTCCCTATAAATGATGGATGAGGAGAACAGAGGCAGTGAGCCAAACATGTGCAACCTATGCACACTGTGCAGAGCTGCATAATCCAAGCAGTATTGTTCCCTGTGTGTGCAGGCGGCACTTCCCAGAAGCTCGCACTGCTGTTGCTGGGGGAGGCTCGCCAGTGCTTTCTGCCGGAGCTGGTGCGGGGAGCTTTGGAAAATCCACTTCTCAAATGCAAATGCTTTCCTTCATTAAAACCCACTTGAAGCCAAGTGTGATCAACAAACACAAAACACTGTCACAGCTCGGACATGCTGTGGATTATGGTTCTCCTTTATTTCACTTGCATAAAGCAGTTTGCCCCTTCGCCTGCCAAAGTGAAATTAATTAACAATTTCATAAAAAATCTTTGGTCTGCGATGATTAGATAATCACTGCTTGTGTATTAGGTAGACACTGGCAATATATGAGGGCAGAGGAGTTGTGTAAGCAGAAAAACTGGTGAGATTTTGATCCTTTTGTTAGCACTCTCCCTCCCTGGGAGCTGTTAAGAGCAGGTTAGACAGACAGGTATTGGGAGTTGTTTGGGTGTAGCGTGTCCTAACCTGGGGGCTAGAGAGACTAGCATGTTCCATTAATCCTTTCCCGCCTTTCCAGCTCCCTTTTCTGTGACTACAGGATGTGAAATACTTGATGCAAATGCTTCTACTAATAGGTTGCTGTGCTCAGTGACGCAGGGGTGGTCACTGGGTGACTGAGCTGTCCTGCACAGTGCACACAGGCCAGGTTAGCTGCCCCTTGCGCAGTTATTTACACCTGTGCTAAATAACTTGTAAGCTCTGTAGAGTTACTGACCTGTAAAATGCATTCAAATACACAAAACTCTGGGCTCTGAAAGGGGAGGGAGCTGGAAGGCATCACAGCTTCTGGAGGCTTACTCTGAGCCTCTGGCTCCCCCGGCTGGAGCTGGCACTGGAGGAGGCTCAGTGGGGACCCAGGGACAGGAGTCAGAGTTGTCACCCAGTGATAAAGGTGTCTACGCTGTCTGCTTGCTCTTCGTTGATAGCTTTAAGTACCATCTCCTTCTGGGTTGCTGTACTGCAAACTGGTGCTGCTTTATGGAATGGTTTAATTAAGTGTGATTCTTCTTTTTTTACATGCTTTTAAAGATCAAATTCGTTAAACACTTACAAACACAAGGGTGGAGGCTTGGAAGATGAAGGCTGACTGTATAGAAACCAGGCTGAAAGGAGTTTCAAGGGAACACATCCAGGGGTCTGAGCTCGTTTCAGTAGTGTAAAAATGTGGTTTAGTGCTAAGCCCAATTTCATGTTCCTGAAGACTGCTGTGCACTGAAGTGCTCTCAGCCCTCCTCATCATCTCCAGATACAGATTCCCTCCCTCTCCCTGTGCTGCATCTGATGATTTATACGGGCGTGTAATGAATCTAGTCAGCCCTGTTAGCCAACAGAAGCCTCTCTCCATGTTTTTTAATAGTTCACTGCCCCAGAAGATCAGTGAATTGAACCATGCATCCCATGATGTTCATCCCGTGCAGTGGGGATGGCAGTGGTGCGCAGCCTGGGTTGAGAGGAGGAGGAAGAGAGGAGAACGTGAGCAGCCCGTTCAGCAGCAGTGTGAACTTTATAGCAATTTTGTTAGAATGTGAGACTGTACACAAATTCAGTGTGTTTGTGAGGCCCTTTCATCCATAAGGATGGGAGGCTTTGAAGAGTCACTTCTTGTTATTTTAGTGTAAGATTATTTGCTGCTGTGGTGTGAGCAGTGTTGTGTGCACAAGTGCCACAGTCCATCGGAAGTTATGTGAGTTCACCTGATGGCACCACAAGAGCTGAGCAAGCTGGAAAGCTGAGTGATTAGCTGTTGAACCTTGGACAACAGATCTGTTCAGTGGACTTGTGCTGTTCGATTGGCACATCAGTATCATTTATTTAAAATAATGTTGTACTGTTCCCAGGGGTTCTGTTTCTAAGTTTCTACTTCGTAGGATGAAAGAGTTGCCAATACTCCTTACTCCTTGGAGACAAAAGACTATTCCCAGCAAGAGCCCAATTTTGCTGTAGTCCTTCATCTTTTTAACACTGCCTGTGCAAACTTTGCCAAACTCCAAAGAACAGAAGTAAAATTGGAACATTTTGGCCTTTCAGTGGCTGTTTACGAGTAGCAAAACAACTTTCAGACAATTAACAGATCTCCTTTGGAGATCAGGCCTTTAGGAAGCTGTTTCCAGGTTGTCACATGTCTAATTAAAACAATTAGTAATGGTAATATGCCTGCTGGTATTCAGCTTTGGCCAAGGCTAGGCTTGCAAGCCTGGTAGCTGATCCTTAAGACTATCTTTACACCCAGGTAAAAACCTTTCTGGGGCCTAAGAGTGTGGGAATCACTTGGTGCAGGTAGTATTTGCTGCTGTGCTGTGGCGTCAGGGAATAACATTGTACCATGGAGGATCTTTCCTTACAGACATCTGGGATTTTAAGAGCCTTATTATCGAATGCTGATTTTAAGCAATTATGATTCTAGGAGAGGTCACAGCAAAAAAATGCTGTAAAATGAGCTTATTTTAATTGCTTACAGCTACACTAGGAAAACTGTGTAGAAAAAGAAAATCACTGTTTTGCTTTGCTATTTAGCAAATTGCTAAAGCAATCACCAGAGAGATGTGCTTGGAGAGTCTTTTAATTCTCCTAAGGGCTGCACTTATACCTGAAGGAGGAAAGTTGTGTGTGATGGAAAGAGTTTTTATCCTGAATTTCTTCCACCGCTGTGAAGCTGCGGTTGGAGTTATGCTGGCGTGCATTCATGAGTTTGTCTGTTTGCATCCCCCAGCACTGCACTAATAGCTCCCATCTGAAAGCCTGAAATGGAGGCTCTTAGTTTCTGTGATTTAGGATTTGATCAAGCTTGCGATCATGATAAGGTTGGCTCAGTCTGAGCTGAGATTTGTTAGTGAATTGTGCGCGCTTTGGTAATCCGTGGCAGTGGCAAGTAAAACAGGTTCTCTTAAGCCACTGCTGAGGGCTGAATGACTGGGACTAGAAAGGGTAGAAATAGTGAAAAATGCCTGATGTGACTGTGAGTGGCAGTTTTTGATGGCTTTTGAGCATTCTTTGATGCACTGTGATGTTTCTCTTTATAGCGCTTCCACTTCTCACTCGGACCATTCTACTCACACCAAGTCTGCTTCTGCACTATCGTCCGACTCGATCTCCACCTCAGCAGACAACTTCTCTCCAGATCTAAGGGTATGTGTGTCTTGTCTCAAAAAAGAAAAATACATATCTGCTGTGGCCTCATGGAGAGGACATTTCTTGCTTCTTGCAGTTTAGATACGGTGAAATGATGTAAGTGTTCAGGTTAATGCCAAATTTTATGTAGCCGAAGCATGAAAGGACCCAAAGTCAAACAGGTGAAATTGAAGTTTAATTTTACCATATTATTTCCATCTTTATAAACTTGTTTAATCTTCAAAAAGCTGACTCTGCAACCCACACTTGGAGATGAATTTTCAAAGGAACTCTTTTCTTTTAAGTGCTTTAAGTAAGTGAAACCCTCAACCTGCCAGCTATATATCCTCTTCTGTTGTGTTTGAGTGTGTAAGAGGTGTTCTCTCTTGAGAACTCCTGCTTGTTTGTAAACACTGAGTCCTTGGAAGTAGCTTCTTTCAGAGAAAGATTGCTATCTCCAAGCTGATAAAAATAATCTTCTGTCACAATAAAGTGCTCTGACATAAAAAGAGCCAAACAAGGCTCTTTTAAGTCTGTTATTGGATTAGTTAATTATAAATTCAAAGTTCTATTTCAGTGTCACAGGAGTTTTGCAGCTATCTGTATATTCCTCTTATGAAACCATACGGTTTGCTTTTAAAAACCTTTGCTTTTAAAAAACGTCCCTGAGTATAGAACTGTTGCTGTTGGTACATTCTAGTAACAACTTCCAGTATTTATCAGCTGTGGTTGAGCATCTTTGTGAAATCTAAACACAATAAAATTACATAAAATCCTCAAAAACCCTCTAAATGCAAAACTAATCCCTTTGACAACCATGATAATTATTTTGTCCTGTGAGCGTTGTGTCTGTAGTCCATTATTAATAACAGGAAGTCCACCTGTTCATAAGTGGCAAGAACATAAATGTTTCTTTCTAAAGGAGCTTACTAGCCAATATTAAGCTAAGATTTGAAAATAAGTCAGTAGTTTATGTGTTATTTAATGGTAGTTTACACCTTTTACCTGTGGATACAAAAAGTAATCTTCAGAACATGGCTGGGTAAAGAAGCTTGTAATATGTCTGAAGTTTTTCCCCTGTGAAGCTGGGATGTTCAATTATTCCAGCATACAGAAAACATAATTTGTAGGCTGAGGTTAAGCAATTCATTGATAGGAATATACATGAGACTGCAAATACTGCTACAGCTGTAACTGTATAATAATATTTAAAAAAAATTTGCACAAACTTAGTTTATTTTCCTATTTAATTCCAATTTTTTAACTGAAGTTTGCATAAGTGGGTTTCTTTTTCCATTTTTTAAGCACTATTTGTAGAATAATAACATCACAGACTGGTTTGGGTTGGAAGGGACCTTAGAGCTCATCCAGTTCCAACCCTCTGCCACGGGCAGGGACACCTTCCACTAGAGCAGGTTGCTCCAAGCCCCTGTGTCCAACCTGGCCTTGAACACTGCCAGGGATGGAGCAGCCACAGCTTCTCTGGGCAGCCTGTGCCAGCGCCTCAGCACCCTCACAGGGAAGAACTTCTGCCTAATATCTAATCTAAATTTACCCTCTCTCACTTTAAAGCCATTCCATGTGTCCTGTCACTACATCTCCTTGTAAAAACTCAACCGCTTTTTCACAGTTTTTGTGACACATGGGGTTTACCTTTAGAAGTGGAGAATAAAACAACATTTCTCTTCTAGAATCACAGTTGTCCTTCCTCCCTGCTGGTTAAGTTGGCTCAACATGTTTTCCTTGTAACTCTTACTGCGTCATGTGAGTCTTTCCCCCTTTTGTCACTTTATCCGTGTGAACTGTAAGCTGTCTGGGCAGGGACTCCAGCTCTCCTAGACTTGTCTGGTTCCCATCCATCAGGGCCTCTATACCCACAAGCAATCAAAAGCAGTGTCTGCAGAGGAATGTTCTCTTAGCTGCGTGATAGATTTTTCAGGCAGGAAATGCATAGGTGGTGTTTACTGGAGGCCATTAGAAGCTCATACTTCCTTTCCATGCCACAGTTCCTGTAATTTGCAGAGTGATTTCTTTGCAGCCTGCCCTCTTATTTACTTATTATTTATCTATTTCTAATCAAACTAAAGTTCTGCAATGCTTGGAACAAATGATGCTCCCCTTTAGCATTTAAGGAGAGATGGTAAAGCAGAGAATTACTTATTTAGCATAAAGGCACTGCAGGCCAAGTGTGAGCATGTGCCTCTGCTTGCTGTTAACCTGCATCAGCTCTGCGGGGCCTGAATTCAGCTTAGGTCTGCCAGGCTTCACCTAAAGTGTGCTCTTGCAGAGGTGGTGCAAGTGGCTCTGATGCAGTTGTGTGTAGTCATAAAGCTGGTTCTAGCCTTTACACTTGAGTGATTGCTTGGCAGTGGTAAGTGGACCTAGTGAAAAAACATTCCCTAGTCCTACTTGTAGTAGGGTATAGTGAGAAGGGGGGTTTACACTAGCAGAGGTTGACTATCTCTCCTAGAGGAATTTGTGCATTAACTATTTCTTTCTTCATTCCTGAGAGAGTTTGATGCTGGAGAACAGGCCTGGGAGGTGGGATGATCTGTCCTCTACCTGTGGACTGCCTCTGGTATTGGTATTGCCAGTGCAACTGCAGTCCCACAGCCTGTCCTCAAACCAGTTGCTCTCAGTGCTAGCGTGTTACTGTTTGTTCCTCTTGGACCCTAGTGCTGGCTCCTAAATGGAAGATCTATTACAAGTGATGATCAAGTAACATTGATTACTTTCAGGTCTGGAGTCAAGGAGAACAGACATCCTCTCTCTGTGACAGTTCTGCAAGCTGGTTTTTAATAAAGTCAGTTCTGTGAGGGGTTTTTCAAGATCCTGATTGTTCTTCCTATTTTCTCTGATCTTTCTGAGATGTGGTCTTGCCTTTGATATTGCAGATGAAGTCATACCATTAATGGATACAGTGGCATGAGCGTGGTCTCTGTTCTAGCCCTATCCTTATTTCCTTGAGCATCTTGTGCAGCTTTGAGTGGCACAAGACAGCATTAACTCCCAAGTCTTCACAAGTACTGAGATTTGAGCTAAGCACATTATTACTTCTGAGGACAAAAGGAAGTCCCACATCATTCCTGGAAAAGTGTAAACTCTGAAGTGGGAACTAATGCATTTTGTGGTAACTCAGTGGTACGGGGTACAAGAGCCTGTGCTACATGGTGTTCTCACAGGAAGGTGTTACATCAGTTAGCTTTAAGAGGCTGAAAATAAGCTTTTCAAGATTTTGACATGGATCTGCCAGTTATGGGATTATGCTCTTGATGTGGATTTAATTTTTCCCTGCTATAAAGAATTGCTACACGGATCCATCACCACTCCTACCTCTACTTGGTCTCTGTTTCTATGTGTGCGTTGCCTCAAATGTAGGAATTAAATGTCGGTGACAATGGAAAAACACTCTGTGATAGCTACAATTAGCACTCTCTTTTCTGCGGGGAATTTTTAGAAGAATAGTGGGTGTCCATCGGGAGGAGGGAACCAGGGGAAGGACCCACATTGTTTCTTGTAGTCTGTGCCTGCAGTTTTCTTTCAGAGTGCAATTAACACTCTGTGTGTGTGCGCACATGTGTGTAATGAGGCAAATGAGAGAACCACTGGGGATTCCTACTGAATGCATGTGCAGTATTTTTCCTAAATGTTTCTCCAAAGTGTTTAATAATAACCTTTATGTTGTTGTTGTTGTTTTTTTTTTTTTTTTAAATGTATACTGAGCATTTCAATATCTGGAACTAAGATTAAATTGCCTTTGCACTACCAAATTTATAGAATTTTCACTTCATAAACTAACTCTAAATAACTTTTGGCTGCTTTAGTTAGTTCCGTGGGGGGAAGAAAAGAACTAAAAAGCCCCAAACCCCAGCAGAAAAACAACAAAGCACTATTAGGTTCTCCTTTCAACCCCCTTCCTGATCTCAAATCTGAAACTGTTTAGAATTGATTTAGGGAATGCACTTTTTGAGGGAATTTTTAGCAAATACACTGCCATATGTTTTAGCATAAGTTATAGATCAGGCAAGAACAGAATTGAATAGAAATAATTGGAAGTGAAAATGGGCTGGAAATTCATAGATACTTTGTAATTCGCGATGAGATTTTAAAACCACCTTCAAGCCAGCATTGCCAAAAGGGTTGTGGTGCATAAATATCTCTTAAAGATCTGGGAACTTGTTGGTTATTAAAGTACAATGAGATTCTTGCTCCTAAGTCTTATAGGTGGTGTAGGCATGCCTATGGGCACGTATGACTGTGCATTTTATAGTACTTTTCTTAAGACTTCTTGCTAATGCTCTAGTTTTTATCAGTCAGGACTTTTCATTTTGGGTCAGCTGTTGATTTATAGGATAATGCCTGAAGTTGACTGTGTTCAAAGCTTTGGAGTAGCTCACATTAAAGGCTTGGATCCTTCCCATCTGTGGTTGGAAGCAGTGGATATGGCCAGTGGAGCCTGCTGCCGCTTCCCTTAAAAACACCACCTTTGCCTGAAAACTTGTTAAGTTCCACTGTATTTGGTTTTGGACTGTATACAGCAAACGCCTGAACCAGAGGATGGAAACTCATACACTGGCTTTCTTACGTTGCTTCTTGCTTCTAGTCCATCCTGTGCACAGAGAATGCCAGTATAGCAAACCCATATGACATCTGCTTAGGTGGGCAGCCTTCAGGAAAAGTGGTTCAGTTCTTTGTTCTTGGCATTGCCGCTTGTCACCACTAAACCAGTCTCCCCTTTGAGGGCAACAGTAAGATCCACAATTCCTCATATTCCTCTGAGGCCCAGCAAAATATTGTACAAGCATGTGTCCCATCCCCCATGATTGTTTGCTTCCTCCATAATAATTTTCTTCTTTAATATACGAGGAATCAGTGGATTTGCAATGGGTTTATATATGAGATCCAAGAACATTATTGTAGCATGCCCAGGACCCAAAGGTTAGAAAAAGGAAGAAACAGTTGCTTGCATAACCTTAATTTGTTATTCATTGTGTGTATGGTTGGAAACTGTAGACAAG